CAGTGATTCAGCCTTTTCCTCTGAGCCTCTCTGAACATCTGAAGAAGGAACATTTAGACACCCACTCACACACACACACACACACACACACACACACACACACACACACACACTGCCCATTAGATCTCAAACAATGATAATGCCGCAGACAAACAGGCTTGGGTGTCTCTTTGTGTCCAACCAAGCCATTGATGTTTTTCAAATATTCATATCGAACTAGAGGAACAGATGAAGGATATAGTTTAATTATATGCATCATATATTGATGTTACTTCACTGTAACTTATGAGCCCCAGCATGGAGATGACCTCTCAGGTCTTGCATGGAAAGACACACGCGGGTCTTGATATTCCCTTTATTTATATTTATCTTTATGCATTATCTAGACAAATCAGAAGATATGTTAGGTGTATCTTTTGGGGGGGAATATAATAAAGGATGCAGGAACTTCATTTGATAATCGGAAAACTTTAGTTGCACCAAGCTGAGAACAGTTTTCCTCAGCTCTTAAACGAGTATAAGATAATGGAGATAATGTTGTTTTTATCCCATCTTATCTAGAAAAATGTTAATTTTCAATAGTTCGACTTAAAGTTTTTGACAAGAGGAAATGAGGCACGATATAACACCCCTGAATTTTGTCAACTGTCCAACTTTATCTCCAAATAGTGCCGCAAGGGACATGGAGTCCAAAAAAATAAAAGGTATTGACATGGATAAACAGCTGTAAATGCCAGGTTATTGAGCAGTATGCTGGGCAGAGTGAGCTGACCACACAGGGAGAGGTAACACCTTACATAAGAGAGTGGGCACAGCTCCCACCACTCTATTAGATCAACCCATTCTGCACTTAGAGAAAGATGTGGGCCTTTGGTTTTGCAATGACAACAGCACATACACAGGATTCCTGTACTCACCCCATGTGCTCTCAGACACAAACAGGTTGTAAATATTTAACATTAGAACAAAACAATTCATTGCCCAAAAAGGGATATAGCACAGCCACCAGTCTGTGTTGTAATGTCACTGTTAAAAAAAGCAAAGCGCAGCCACGCACTGAAGCTGGCTCTCAGCGAGCTGCAATTGGCCAGCACTAGCAGCCAATTTTTTACACTGCGGTGACACAAATCCCAAATGCGTTTAATCAAAGTCCACATAGGGAAGAGGTCAGGTCAGTTTACAAACATCAAAAGCGCGATGAGCAGTTAAAAAACGTAGAAATGTTGATATGAAACATATTTTTTGGTTTAGAAAAGACGAGATTCAACGTATCAGTGGTTTGCAGAAACTTACAATGTCAACATTTTATTTCTGACAACTGTGTTGTCAGACGGTACCGACCTTATAGGAGACGGGGTTCTGACTAGCTTTGAGAGGGACCAGTACAAGTCAACTCATCATACACATTTCAAGGTTCAAAATGTGTTTCTGAATTTTTTAGGTCATACTTGAAGATTCAGAATTGGATGTATAAGATATTTGTGAATGGAACAGACTGCAATAGTTAACAGTAGTGAGAGTCTCTGATGCGAGAGGAAACAGAGCAGGACAGGACAGATAACACAACCGTGACCTTTCTCTCCTCAGCTCTCTCGTTTCCTGCTGGACCTTCTCCAGAGCTTCCCTCCGTCGTGTCACTTCCTCTTCAGCTGCGCAGTATGACGACAGCTGCTCCTGCATGATGTCACACCTGCTTTGGCATGACAACCACCTCTCGTGTTTCTCCTCCAACTCCTCTTTTAACCTGTTGAAGGGATACAGAAGATGAGCACAAACACACATAGCTGCTGTTATGTATTTTCTAGGAGGACACATTTTCATCTGCATGTTTATACAGTGTGTCTGTGCATGTTTTGAATAACAATACAAACACACACACACACACACACACACACACACACACATACACACACACACCAGCAGGCCAACAGTAACTCTACACTGACAGGTCAACAGGTGAGTGTAAGCGTCAGAGCAAGTCTGTTACATAAGAGGGAAGCCGTTTATTCTCTAACCTTATCAGGATACTTTTAGCCTTGACACACAAACACACCAAAGCGCGGTCAAACCCTAAATTCAGGGGGGCGACCTCCCTACCCCCAACCTCCCATCCCTACTGAAATAGCGGAGTGCTATTATGGGTTGAGCTGTATAGGAGCCCAGAGGGTGAGATCACAGACTGCTGTGTGGGAAGGGAAATAAATTGACAGTGTAATTGAACACACCAGGCTGCCGATGGCTTAGAAAAAGAATACCAGCAGATACCATGTGAAAAAATACACACCCCACATACATCTAACGCCTGCACGGAAAGATGAGAGGCTCCATGTGTATATGTCTGTCTGTGGGTGGACGCATGTGGGTTGGGTGTGTGCACACATGTGTCTGCCTGCGTATTAGTGTGATGCAGTCCGATAGAAGTGTCTCTGCATATCTATAATATGTGCATGCCTCTGTGCACAGATGATAGTTAGTGTGTGTGTGTGTGTGTGTGTGTGTGTGTGTAAGAAACATGACTCCACGCCAACTCAGGAGTGCTTCCATCTGTTTCACCATCCTCACACGAGGCTCTCTGCAGTGTCACTGGCACTTTATGGAGCCTAAGATCTCCTCAACTGACCCAAGAGCAGATCGCAGCTGACACTAATATCCCCACCTCTCTCTGGGAGGAAGGAGATGGAAGAAGAGAAATGAAGCAGAGGAAGAGGATGATTTGGAGGACAATGAGTGGGATAAGAACAGGGATTGTGGGAAAGTTGGAGAAGGGAAAAGATGGGCATTTATCACGTGGTAAAGCAAAAGTACAGAGAAAAAGAAAGAAGAGAGCTCAGCATACCGGAGTAGTTTTTCCTTGTGCTGGTTCTCAGAGTCTTTCTGTTGGGACAGCTTCTCCTCACTCTGTCTCCTCTGCTCCCTTTTGACACAAAGTGGAAAGCATGGTCACTCAATCTTTCCCATTTGTTGAATCAGAACGTTTAAGACCAAGGTAGACCGACATAGCTGGAAATACAATAATCCTCTCCTCTTTTAATGTAATTCATGTTAATTGTACCCACATTTTACAATCAGGTAGGTGGAAATATAATATGTACTCCCAGGGTAATATTTTACATTTTCAAGTGCCATTGAAAAGTACTTGAGCAAGATAACGAATCCATACAACTCCTATTCTTTCCACTCCTACGCTTGAATCTCTGTGCGGAAGAAGCTTGACTTTGAATTCTCCCTCTGGGATCATCAAAAGTTCAAGAAAGTACATCACCACTCTTTTTGGCCTACAAAATGGTTGCTATTTTACAACTGAGCAGCTTTCCACAAGTCATTTAGATTTTATTGTTGTTAAATTCAAATAAGCTGTGAGCCTGTGTGCGGCTGTGTTTTTGAAATCACCACGTCCTCCATGTGCAGCT